AGCGGCCCCAGCCCAGCTGCTCCTGCCCCAGTCCAGCTGCTCCTCCCCCAGCCCAGCTGCCCCAGCCCAGCTGCTCCTGCCCCAGCCCAGCTGCTCCTGCCCCAGCCCAGCTGCCCCAGCCCAGCTGCTCCTGCCCCAGTCCAGCTGCTCCTCCCCCAGCCCAGCTGCCCCAGCCCAGCTGCTCCTGCCCCAGCCCAGCTGCCCCTGCCCCAGCTGCTCCTGCCCCAGCCCAGCTGCCCCTGCCCCAGCTCAGCTGCCCCAGCCCAGCTGCTCCTGCCCCAGCCCAGCTGCCCCAGCCCAGCTGCCCCAGCAGCCCTTCCCCAGCCCTTCCCCACCCTGGACACCCATGGGGCACATCGGGCACTGCTCCTGCCCCACAGCTGCTGCTGGCAAGGTGGGGATGGCTCCAGGCCAGCCCCACTGAGGGCACCCCAGAGCTTCCAAACCAATCCCTCCTTCCCCTCCTGGGCTTCATCTGCAGCTGGGCTTGTGCTTCGAATGGCTACAAAGACAGTGGGAGCAGCAGCTGTCACTGGGCAGTCAGGGGCTGGTGCTGAAGGGATGTGACCCAAGTCCAAACATGTCCCTGTCCTCGTGGGCCCAGAGGTACTGAGCACAACTCTGCCAAAGTTAAACACAGGCTTGGGGGTCAATGGCTGTGAAAAACACACTCAGAACTGGTAACAGCTCTGGCTGGTGTTGTCCAGAAGTAGATTTAAGATTTTTTTAGATTTTCATGTGAAAGGGCATTTCAATGGGTTCTTTCTGCAATTGTTGCAGGCAGGTGACTAACTCTATTTATGCCTTGCCTTCAAGCCTGGGAGTATCTGACTTTAGTGAAAGTCATTTTTAAATGCACCTCAAAGCTTAAATAACTCAAAGCATCTTTCTTCCCAGCAAGGATATAATAGGTCTTTGGTGCAATCTGCCTTACAAAAATGGAGGATGACCATGAAAAAAATCTTAGAAAATACAGATTTGTTTGTTCCTATTCTAAATGGCCATCTGGACAAACCCTCCTGTGCTTTGGTGGAGAAACTCAAGTCAGATTTCTTTTGTACCTCTGAACTTGCAGGATGATTTGATTTATTTTTTATTTTTTATTTTTTTTTCCCCAAGAGCTTTATGACAGTAAAGAAAAATGAGGTTTGTCTTTTTGGTAAAGTTGGGGGGGGGGGTTACTATTTATTTATTTTTATTTTTCAAGACTCTTAAATCTTGAACTTTATTAACAGCAGCTACAGTAAAATTAAAATAGATCCTTCAGCGCAATGGAGAAGTTATAATTTTGGCAGCTGCTTGCCCTGCCCTATGTCATTGCTTTGTGTGAAGCCTCTGCTGCTGGGGGTCTCTCTTTCACTGGTTTTGGAAATTTGGTGGAATTGCTCACATGTTAGAAAGAGAGGCTTCATTCCAATTACATTTATTGCCTGAGCTCTTCTAGTCCAAGTGCTTGAAGCTTGTTGTGAGAAATTTTGCTCACTCTCAAAAATTTAAAAGGTTTATTGAAACCTTATCAAAAACACAACAGAAGACTGAATAAAGAAAATAATACAGCACTGGAAGCAAAGGATTCAATCACCATGTGCTCATCTACAAAAAGGGATGTCCTGCCCTTTATACCTCTAGCCCCTCTTAACATATATTTAATATTTGCTCTTTAATTGTGAGAGCCAGCCATCGCATTACTCATCTGTAACATCGTTTTCTAAAGTTGTTGACTTTCTCAGGTTCTGTTAATACTTGTGATTTTATAACAGAATGTTCTGGGATGGGATTTTGCAAGATTTTGTAACCAGATTTAGTTTTTGGTTTTGGATTTCTTAGTGCTGGGTCAGAACTGAATGCAGCATCCTGGGAGGGAAGCTGTCAACCTCAGCAGGGTTGGGACCTGTGGGGCTCTGAGGGGTCCCTGGTGTGAAAAACGCCAATCACTTGTTTTAAAATGTAAATTAAAAGTTTAATAGTAATAAAATGGTTATAAAGATAGCAATACAAATTAGAGCAATAAGAACTTGGACAAGCAGAGTTATGACAATAAAGGTCAATAAAAAAGTCAAGAATTATGAACGTTAGATGCTTTCCTCAAAAAAGCAAGGCTCACAACAAAGGATTAACCCTTAAAAGTCATAGCCTGTTGCATATTCATATATCTCATACGTGATGCAAACATTCCTTTCAAACAAAGGGCATTTTCTGTTTATTGTCAACATCTCCCTCTTCATCTTGTAAATCACGGTTTGGCTCCATGGAGTCTGAAACGAGGTAGAAGAAGCCTGGTTCTTCCTGATAGAGGCAATAATTCTTCTCTTTGGGATTTTAGTGTCTTGTTGCTGTTATCTCTGTGCAAAGAATTTCTTGATTATCTTATCCATTCCTTGAGCTAGTTAGAAAAGCATCTTACATCACATAGTTTCTATTTTAATAGTCTAAAACTATATTTAACACACTACTAAAAAGGATTAATACAGCATAACTTTCTAACATAACACATATAAGTTTCATTTTAATATTTGTGAGAAGCCAATCATAAAAGATGCATTTTTCACACTGGGCAGGGCAGGAGGCCGACCTGGCCCTCACAGCACCTCCCTGCCCGAGCAGGCACCGTCTGCAGAGGTGGTGGAGGCCGTGAGAGTCATTGGTTGTGTTTTACTGTTTATCATGTTCCACCTCTGGAGCTGGGTGGGGCTTTGGGTTTCTGGTTTTTTACTTGTTTATTTTGTTTTTGATTGTGTTGGTTTGGTTTAGGGTTTTTGTTTGTTTGTTTTGTTCTTATTTTTGTTTTGTGGGGTTTTTTGTTTGTTTGTTTGTTTGGGGTTTTTTTGGTTTTTGGGGTTTTTTTGGCAGGGAGCTATTCTTGTTGCTATTACTTTAATATAATTTTTATAATTAAAAATATATATATAATTTCTTTTTTTTTTTTTTTGTAATTAGCAGAAACCCTTCCATGCCTGTTCACAGCCAGGTCTAGGGTGAAAGAAAGGAGGTGGAAGTTGGTGCAAAGCAGCTGTAACATCACTACAGAACTCAGTGCAATCTGGTGCCACAGACGTGAGGCAGGGTCCAGGTGGCCCCTGAGAGAAGGGGCCGGGTTGGAGGGGATGTGCATTGTCCATCCCGTGGTGAGGAACTGTTTTTCCATTGGGCATAGTCTCCTTAGCATGCCCTGGATCAGTGTCAGCTGCACAGGCTGTCATCACCTCTTCAAAGTGGGCACTGGACCCTCATCTCAAGTCCTCAACCCTCTCTAATTAGCTGTACAAGCCTGAGGATTGACAAAGGGGAAGGTAATGACTCATTAGGCCTTTCTTTGTTTTAATGAGCCGTATGGTGTATTTGGTGTTCTGAGTCCAGGATCCTCAGATGCTGAGAGGAGAGAGAAGCAGACCCCCAAGAAATCCAAGTGAGAAGAGAAACCCAAAGTGTGGTGGAGTGTGGGAATCCAAAGGATTAGAGGATTTGAGGAAAGCTGGGAAAAAGAAAGGCCTCAGAGACAGTAAGGATAGTGAAATGCTTAAGCAGCAGAAAAGATATATCGGCAGTAATGAAGACATGAGACATAGAACAATAAAGCTGTGTAGTTTGGCTTTCTAAGTTGCAAGAAGGTATATTTTAGTAAATATTTAGAAAGTTAAATATGAAAGCTCTGTGCTTTGTCTTTTATAAACGAACTATTGTATGAGAGAAAAAGCTGCTATTGTTTTAACCAAAGCTACGTGTGCTTCATGTGGTTGGACAGAACGACTGTCAATATGCTTTTGCTCTATGTAATTGGCTGAAACTGGGTCTGAGGCTGTCTTATAATATGTTGCAACATTAATTTCCTCGGCCTTCTGTCTGGATAGCGAGCTGCTCGCATCGATCCATTGCCATAGCCATGTAATGAGACTGATGCTTCTGAAATAAACAGCTCACGACGCTGTTCAGGTGTGGTCCCGTTCCGTTCGTGTCTGTAAATAATTGCCGGCGTCAGTGGAGCCCTGAGAGTTGCCCTTTCTGATGGAGCCTCCCCAGGGCCTCGTTAGCGCCGAGGGTTGGGGGCTGTGCTTGCAGCAGGCAGAGGCACTGGGCAGGGGGCTCTGGTGCTGAGCAAACCCTTGGCTTGATGGAGCAGAAGGGCCAAGGCCTGATCCTGGTCCCTGGGATGGGAGATCTGTCCTTCCCAGAGCCCAGGGCTCTCCCTGGAGGCAGCCTGGGCTGTGCAGGCAGTGCCCAGGGAAGGGCACCAGTGTCATAGTGCCCAGTGTCCCCAGGGCTGCAAGGACACAGCCCCAGTGCCACCAGGACAACCTGTGTCCTCACAGACCTCTCTGGGGCACACGACTGCCATGGCCAAGGGGACCAAGAGCTCAGGCATCTGCAGGCAGCTTCAGAGCTCTTGGGGAAGGACCCTCTGTGTGGCTGTCCTCACATCAAAGGGACGGGACTACGACAGGCTAAGAACGATTTATTGCTTACATAACATCAGTCTCAGAGGCCATGAGATTTATAAGACAGCAAGCATAGTCTTATAAATAGTCTTAGGCCATGGTCTAAGATGGTCACAGGTTCTTCGTTGCAAGACAGTAAGAGAGGAATGACAGATTTGTCTTTAAAAACAAGCTGTGGGTCTGCTGGTAGATAAAACCAGCACTGAGAAATAAAAGAAACAATGGGAAGGATTCTACTGATTGATGAATGAAAAAAACATATTTTGCTTTTACAAATAAACTGTAGGTTTGCTGGTAAATGAAATTGGACATTGAAAGATGAAAGCAACAATGGGGGAAAACCCTACATTCCATAAGAATTAAAAATTAAAAGGGAATTACAGGGAAATCTTTGGTATCAGGTGTTTCAGGAAGTCTGTACTTCTCAAATACCTCAGACAATGAGGAAAGAGAGAAGAGAAATTAGGATAAAAAGGGAAGCTGTGTCCTCCAAAAACTGGAGAGACCCCAGGGGAATGCCCCATGGCCTCTCCCTTTATTCAAACAAAGTAAATGGACTCCTCTGCCTCCTTTTTGGACATAAACCTCTGATGTTTGTGGATTAATTTTCCTAACATAATGAACACAGGATGAGGACACCTGTACCGATATGCCAACTATCAGCACCCACATACTCCAGCAGGGTGGGCCAAGGTCCAAAAACTGAAGATGATGATAAAAAAGGACTAAAACCACAATGACGGAATGTTCATGCACTAAAAAGGCAGATCCAAGGAGGAGATATACTAAACAGTTCTTGGAACATGTAAACTAATTTGGGGAGAAGTTTACTATGCATTCGGGGAAAAGGTTACTATGCATAAGGGTCTATGAATATGCAAAGGGCTGATGTAAGGGAAAAGGTATTTAAGGGGTATCCCCCAAGATGCACCTGGCCCTAATAACCTCGTCTCCTATTGTCCTTTATTATACTTTTAAAATTTTCACAGGAGACTGAACGTGGTTTTCACACCCCACACCCCCTGCCTGCTGACGGATCTTGCCAACTCAGCTTGCAGCTCCCTGAGCCCTGCTGGGGCACCAGGATCAGGGGCCCCTGTGGGTTTGTGCAGCAAAACCTCTGTTAATGCCATAGTTGTTGTTGTTGTTTGCTTTATTATACACACTAGTAAAGAACTGTTATTCCTATTCACATATCTTTGCCTGAGAGCCCCTTGATTTCATTATTCTAATTCAGAGGGAGGGGGTTTACATTTTCCATTCCAAGGAGGGCTCCTGCCTTCCTTAGCAGACACCTGTCTTTCAAACCAAGACAAGGTAAAAAATCAGCTCTTCCCAAGGAATTTCCATTATCAGTTTGAGTCTCAATGGATGTTCCTGCCCCAGCGTTCAGTCAGGGGCCCACAGGGATCCAGGATGATGTAGAGACCACCAGCCAGGTGTCTTCCCAACTTGGATTACTGGGAATGTGGGTCACCAGGGCTCTCTGCAACGAGGGTCCTCTGATGGGGAAGGAAGTTGGAGCAGTGCACGAAGCTCTTCCTGCAGTCAGGGCACTCGCAGGGCTTCCCTTACCGATGTCTCCATTGGTGTTGATTCAAGACTGAGCTAGTCCTGAACCTCTTCCCACACTCAGGGCACTCGTAGGGCCTCTCCCCAGTGTGGATGCGCCTGTGCCTGATGAGGTGGGAGCTGTGCTTGAAGCCCTTCCTGCAGTCAGGGCAGCGGAAGGGCCTCTCCTCTGTGTGAATCCGCAGGTGTATGAGGAGAAGGGAGCTGGTCTGAAATGACTTCCCACACTCGGAACACTCGTAGGGCCTCTCCCCTGTGTGGATCTTCTGGTGGGAGGTCAGGTGGGAGCTCCGGCTGAAGTTCTGGCCACATTCCCAACACTCAAAGGGCCGTTCCCCAGTGTGGATGCGATGGTGGATGGTAAGCTGGGGGCTGTCTCTGAAGCCCTTCCCACACTCAGGACACTCGTAGGGCCTCTCCCCAGTGTGGATCATCTGGTGGCGGATCAGGCGGGACCTCCAGCTGAAGCTCTTCCCACACTCCAAGCACTTGTGGGGCTTCTCCTCATCACTGAGCTGCTCAGAGACCACAAGGCGCAAGCTTTGGCTGAAGCTCTGTCCACCTTCCTGGCTCAGGGAGGGCCTTTCCTCCTCAGAGCACCCTGGGCTGGGTTTGCAGTCCCTCATCCTGGGGGATCTCTGGGCATTTTCCTCCCCATCGGATTCCTGCTCTGTAGAGTCACTCAAAACTACCTCTTCCATGAGGTTCTGCTGTGGTGATGTGTCCTCCCTGGTCTCCATCTTCAGCTCCTTGTCTGGGGAGTCTCTGTGACCTTACTGGGGGGACTGGAACCACACTGGGAACAACGGGGACCATGCTGGGGACAACTGGGACCCCATGCTGGAGGCAGCTGGGAGCGAGTGGGAGTGACTGGGTCTACACTGGGGACAACTGGACCATGCTGGGATCCAGCAGGGATCATCCATCGATTGTCTGGGACTAAACTGGGGGTGCCTGGGATCACAGGCAGGCTCCCCAGCCAGCCCCAGTTTGGATGTGGGGCCCCCAGTTGTCCCAGTTTGCCTCTCCTTTTGCCCGGGCCGGCTTCCCCCCTTCTCCGCAGCGGCCGGGAGCAGCCGAGAGCCCCGCGCTGCCCGTGCCGAGCTGTGCCGGCTCCAGCCCCGCTCCTGCCGCGGGCTGCGAGGGCTCCGGGAACGGGGCAGCGAGGGGGTCGCTGCTGCTGCGGGAGGAGGAGGAGGGAGGGAAGCGAGGGATGAAGGAGGAGAGCCAGAAGGGATGGAAGTAGGGGAGGGAGGTGGGCTTAGGGACGAGGAGGAGGGGGATAAAGAGGAGGGACAAAGGAGCATGAAGGAAACCAGAGGGAAGCACGCGGTCGAGCCCTCCCTGCATTCGCAGCCCCCACCTGTGGGATCATCGCCCCCCATCCCCCAGGTAAAGCCCCCAGAGCCCCCCACGGCCCCCATTCCTGCCTTTCCCAGCCCCCAGCCCGTCCTTTCCTCAACACTGAAGACACCCGGGGCCCCTATTCCCAGCCATCCCGGGGTTTCCCCCCTTTTTCTGGGAATGGGGACACCGGGCACCCTTGGAGCTCCCTTTCCTGTATAAGGGACCCCCTCAACCCAGCCTGTCGCACCTCTGGCCACCCCAGCCTCCCCTTTTCTCAATCCTGAGTCCCCCAAACCCTGTTCCCTGCTCTCTGGTTCCCCCCTCCCTTGCCCCCAAATCTCCGTGTCCCCCCAGTTCTCCTGTCCCTGCGTTCCCTGCCCGTGGCGCTGTCGGAGCCCGGCCCGGGGTTCCCCCAGTTGGTGTCCGTGGGGTCCCTGGATGGGATCCCCTTCCAGCGCCGGGGCCGGGTGGAGCCGAGCCGGGATCTCGGCACAGCCAGAGCCGGCACGGGGCCAGGGAGCTGCAGCTGCTGCACGCGTCCTGTCCCTCCCAGCTGCTCCCAGTTCCTCCCAGTGCGTGCGCAGTCAGCTCCCAGCATGCGCCTGGCAGCTCCCAGTACCCCCAGTCAGGGACCAGTTACAGCCACTACAATCCCAGTAAGACTGTAGCTGCTCCTGGTATGATCCCAGTGACTCCTGGTATGATCCCAGTGACTCCCAGTATGATCCTAGTCACTCCCGGTGTGATCCCAGTCACTCCCGGTGTGATCCCAGTGACTCCCAGTATGATCCCAGTCACTCCTGGTATGATCCCAGTGACTCCTGATATGATCCCAGTGACTCCCAGTGTGATCCCAGTCACTCCTGGTATGATCCCAGTCACTCCCGGTTTGATCCCAGTTACTCCTGGCATGATCCCAGTCACTCCTGGTATGATCCCAGTCACTCCGGGTATGATCTAGCCACTCCCAGTCAATCCCAGTAAGATTCCAATCACCGTCAGTGTGATCCAAATCTTACCCAGCAGGGACCCAGCTGCTCCCACTGTGATCCCAGTATGATCCCAGTTGCCTCCAGTATAGTTCCAGCTGTTCTCAGTTCCTCCCAGTACGATCCCAGTTGACCCTAGAATAGTCCCAGTCGCTCCCAGCATGGTCCCACTCTCCCCCATGTCCCCCAGCGTGGTCCCAGCTGTTGCCAGTGTAGTTCCAGTCCCCCCAGTATGGTCACAGACACTCCCAGTACATCCCACCTGGCCTAGTACAGTTCTCATTAGCTCAGAATGATCCCCGTCTTTCCCAGTTACCTCCAGCATAATCCCAGTTTCTGGCAGTTGCCCAAAGTGTGTTCCCAGTGGCCCCCAGAATGACTCCATCAAGACCAGTAGTCACTCCCAGTATGGTTCCAGTCACCCCCAGTATGACCCCAGTCAGTCCCAGATACTCCTAGTATGATTCCAGTCATGCTCAGAGTGATTCCCTGTCACTCCCAGTGTGGGCCCAGTTGCTCCCAGTTGCTTCCAGTATGGTTCCAGGCACAGCCAGCACCTTTCCAGTCACTCCCAGTATGATGCCAGCCAGTTCCTGTAGGATCCCAGGATGACCCCAGTATGGGCATGGCTGTTCCCATTATCATCCAGTGTGGTTCCAGTTGCTCCCACTGTGATTTTAGTGTGTCCCAGTGTGTCCCAGCATGTTCCCAGTCACTCCCAGTTGCCCTGAGTTGCTTCCAGGCTTATCCCAGCTGCTCACAGCCACTCCCAGTCACCCTGAGTGCAGTCCCAGTTGCTGCCAGTATGATCCAGTGCGATCCCAGTCTCCCCCAGCATAGGCCTAGCTGCTCCCACTATGATCCCAGTTGCCCCCAGCATGGTTCCAGCCACTCCCTGTTCCTTCCACTGTGATCCCAGGTGCCCCCAGGTTAGTCCCAGACAATCGATAGATGATCCCAGTCCCTCCCAGCATGGTCCCAGTCATGCCCAGTTGCCCTCAGTGTTCCCCCAAGGGCTGGCAGTGCCCAGGCAGGCTCCCCAGCAGGGCCCAGTTTGGATGTGGGGCCCCCAGTTGTCGCAGTTTGCCTCTCCTTTTGCCCGGGCCGGCTTCCCCCCTTCTCCGCAGCGGCCGGGAGCAGCCGAGAGCCCCGCGCTGCCCGTGCCGAGCTGTGCCGGCTCCAGCCCCGCTCCTGCCGCGGGCTGCGAGGGCTCCGGGAACGGGGCAGCGAGGGGGTCGCTGCTGCTGCGGGAGGAGGAGGAGGGAGGGAAGCGAGGGATGAAGGAGGAGAGCCAGAAGGGATGGAAGTAGGGGAGGGAGGTGGGCTTAGGGACGAGGAGGAAGAGAAGGGGTGGAAGAGGAAGAAGAGGAGGGACAAAATCAGATCAAGGAAACCAGAGGGAAGCACGCGGTCGAGCCCTCCCTGCATTCTCAGCCCCCACCTGTGGGATCATCGCCCCCCCATCCCACAGGTGAGCGGGGAGGGGGAGCTCGGCCTAGATATCCCGGGGGGTCTCTGGGTTGGGTTTTCTGGGGGGATGTTTGGGGAATGAAGAACTCCAAGGCTGAGTGGAAAAGGCCCCTTGGGGGGACATCGGGGGGTGGCGGCTGGCGGCAGAGGCAGCCTGGAGGAGCAGAGCCCTGTGTCCCCCAGGAGCCCAAAGTGGGGAGCTCAGAGAGGGAGGAGCGCTGCTATCCATCCCTCAACAGCCTGGAGAGGGGTGTCAGAACCCAGGATGTTCCTCTGACTGCCCTGGAGGAGTCGAGGCCCTGGCAGGGGGCTCAGAGACCTTGGCACAAAGATACCTGTGCCTTCGATTTTAACCCACAGAAAAAATTACCAACTTTGTATGAATATGTACAAGCCACAAGAGTTTAAGAAGAATAATAGTTCATTTGTCACAGGGTGAAAAAGTAGATTTTTTGGGGGTTTAGAATTTTTGGGGGTTCAAGAGGCAAGATGGAGGGATTTGGGCGTGTCCTGTCCTTCTTCTCGTTCTTCTTGTCCTCCATCTTCTGCTGTGATGGTGACACTTCTTGATTGGTTTAGAGTAGAGACAGACTGTCTAACATAGGTGATAGGTATTGGAAAATTATTGTAAATAAAGTACACGTAGTTCTTAGTATAAAATGTTAACACCGCCCCAAGAGCGGTCAGTGTGCCATGAACCGACCTGCTAGACAGACCTCAGCAGGTCAGAGAAAAAATGTTATAGATAAGGAAAATTAAACAACCTTGAAAAGCAGAACCGACGCATCTCGGCTTCTTCTTCGGTCATGGGGCTGGGAAAAAAGAGACTTTCTAACACCTCGGGGTCATCTCGACTCCAGAAACCTGAGAACTGGCATTCCCTGGGTGGGCCTGGGCTTGCGAGCTCAGACCACTGAACATCAGACATTGAATCCCAGCCTGAGAAAAGGCACAACGACAGAGAAGAATTCCAGAGCAGACACCTTGACCTCTGCAGAGACAAGTCACTTCAAACTCGACCCGGAAAGGAGGAAAACCCAAGGCGCCTGGGAGTTCCCCACCTGAGATCTGCTGGCCAGTGACCAGGAAAACCTCTGGATCGGTTTTGCAGATGATGCAGCTTTTGGTAAGACAGGTCAAAATTAAGAACATGGGGGGAGCTTATTTCCAGGAACAATTTAGCATCTTGTCCGCCCTATGGAGCGTGACAGCCACTTATCCCATGGAAATTTCTGAGGAGGGGCTCAGGGCTCTATTGCTATGGGTGCGCTGTAATTATCCGCACTCAGAATCCCATTTAGTATTTGAGCCAGGGTTTTGGAAAGAAATTAACAGACACCTTTATCATTTATCAACAAAGAAAGATAAAACGGCCTTGAAACTTTTAGCTCCAGCGAGAGTAATGCTGGAGGCAATTTCGCGGAATGCCGCAGGGGCTGCCTGCAATCAGCAGCCAGCAGAAATGACTCCCAGCGGTCAGGGGAGAGGGGAACCGCCTTGCCATCCGCAAATACTCCTATCAAATTAGGAAGAACAGAAATTACTCCCACAAAAAAGGTGCGGGGGGAATCGTCACAACCCTCAGAGTCTCCAGACACATCTCTGCCACTCCCGGGAAAGCTCAAATTAACTATTTTTCCAAGCGATTTGGAGGACGGGGATTTTGCTTTTTTTGAGGCGTGTTCCCCAAAATCGCAGAGACCGATGCGAACTATCACCGCGGAGGCGACGGCGGGATCATCGGGGCGGGGGACGGAGGAAATCGAGGGTTCCGAGCGTGAGCTGCCTTTCGGCCACGCCGAGAGAGTGCCGGGCGGGGAGCAGCCGGGGGGGGAACAGTGCCGGGCGGGCAGCAGCAGCAGCCGGGGGGAGAACAGTGCCGGGCGGGCAGCAGCCGGGGGAGCGCAGTGCCCCGGGCGGGGAGCAGCAGGGGGAGCGCAGTGCC